CGCAGGCTCACGGCAGGCCCGGCGGCCGCGCCGCCTCCACCCGGGCGCCTGAGTCACCGTCCGCGCGAGAGCGGGAGGTGGCGGCCGGTTACCTTCGGCAGGGAACTCCTCGAACTCGTCGTCCTCCTCTAGGAGACCCAAATCTACCGGCTGCTTTTTCTCTGACATCGCTACCCTCCAAGCCTACTACCCCTCAGAGCGGCACAGGACAAAAGTTGGAGGTCTCACTACTCGACGGCCGCAGCCACCGCCGCTTGCGTCACAGACGCGACCACAGAGACTACGGGAAGAGCTACGGGGCCCGCGCAAAGGATGCTGGGATGCTGGAGGTCCTCCCAGGGCTTCCTGCGGGCTTAGCAGTTCTTCCACTTAGGAAGGTGATTTTTTTTGTCCTACTACCTTAGTTAGACTCCGAGTTAAAACAAAAGAAAAAGACCTCATAATGGGTAAAAAACATTAAATGCCTTTGTTTAGTTTACAATTAAGAAAGAAAATATAGAGAAAGAGATGAAGTGACTGCTAACATTCATCAGCTTCCTAAAGGCCATACCTTAATGTACATAATCTGGTCTTTAAAACTCATTAACCAAGCGCAGTACTAAAAATCTCCACATCACAGAAAACTCAGTTTCACAAAAAAGCACCCAGTCACTCACATAATGCAAGACAATCCAAATGCTGATCTGTTTGCCTGTTTCAAATCTCCAAACTTTCCTGTTACACAGTGTTTCTTGGTCTTGGAATTATTTTGTGGTAAATGACCTTATTAAATTGAGGTTGGGGGCTAGGGAGATAGCTCAGCAATCTAAGAGCCCGCCTGGCAAGTGCAAAGCCCGTGTTCGATACCCGGTACCGCATGCTGTACCGGCCCCCTGCATCATGCTGGCCACAGAAACTGCGCGTGGTGGTGCACTGCAGTAATCCCAGGGCAGGGGGGAGGCTGAGGCAGGAGGATCACTACCAGTCCGAACTATGTAGTGAGACCCTGTACCAAATACATAAATAAAGAGTTTTTTTAAATAATAAAATTTGGTGATATGTATAGGAACTCAAGTTTGGCTAGGTTGTAATATTTAACACTGTTCAAAATTTGTCATTTAGAATTTTAAAATTTCTTAAAATAGTGAACTATCTAGAACTATACCTGTCCTATACACGGCTATATAACATCATAGATAATATGTAATAGATATGATGTTACACATGTTAGTATACCTGTTTAAATAAATACTATTCCTTCATTCAACAACTTTAGTTCATAGTATCTACCAGGCATTGTGTATCAGACAAGTATAAAAGAGGGCCTTTCTCTCCAGAAGCTGGCGTACTGTCTCATCAGACGTATAAATAGATAAGTCACAAAGAAACATAGTATTTGAATCTCTTTCTTGAAATATAATTACTTGAGAAATCAATACAAGATGTGGGACTAGAGAGAGTAGAAAAAAATAAAGGACGAAAGGAGAACTACACATTAAGTGATTTTTAAGAAGTTATATGGCCCCCATAATACCATTCTGATTTGTGTTGATTGTTGAACATATTGGTATCTCACCAATAAAAAAGATAAGTACATAAATATGGGAAAGGCTAGCCTTGCATGATGTATATATAGTTTGAATCATCATGCTGCACTCTGTAAGTATACAGTTGGTTCCTGATTTTTGATGGTTCAGCTTATAGTTTTCTAAGTGTGGGGTGGTGTGAAAATAGTACATATTCAGTAGAAATTTTACTTTGAATTTTGGTCCTTTTCATGGCCAGTAATGTATGGTAAACATCTCCATTGTGTTCAACAGAGGCACCAAGCCACAGCTCCCAGAAAGCCTTGCAACCATGGTGTGAAACATACTTACTCTATGGTGTACCATGTTGGTAAGTTAGGTTATGCTGCAGATCAGGAACATGAAATGCATTTTTTATTTGTAATACTTTTAATTTATGCTAGGTGTCTTGGGACATAACACCCTCATACAATTTTTATCAAGGAAATGTTTTTTTAAGGAAATGAATGAAGTATTTTGTCAAGGAGTCAGACCTATTTATGAGTACATCTGAAATTTATATCAATCCTTAGCAAAAGAAAAATATCAACAGCAATATAGTTTTATCCCCTTAAACTACGTTCAATTTAAAAATATCAGCTTGCTTCTTGTTTGACTGGAACCATGGAGGGTGTAGAAGAGAAAAAAAAGAAGGTTCCTGCTGTGCAGCAACTCTTTAAGAGAAAGTGAAGACATTTTGCAGAGTTAAAAGTAAAGCACCTGAGAAAGAAGTCTGCCCAGAAGACACTTCACAAGGCAAGGAGGAAGCTCTTCTATGAAAAAGCCAGGCACTATCATAAGGAGCACAGACAGATGTACAGAACTGAGATCCAAATGGCGAGGATGGCGAGAAAAGCTGACAACTTCTATGTCCCTGCAGAGCCCAAACTGGAATTTGTCATCCAAGTCAGGAATATCAATGGTGTGAGCTCAAAGATCCGCAAGGTGTTGCAGCTTCTTCGCCTTCGCCAAATCTTCAATGGTATCTTTGTTAAGCTCATCAAGGTTTCCATTAACATGCTGAGAATTGTGGAGCCATACATTGCATGGGGGTATCCAAACCTGAAGTCAGTAAATGAACTAACATACAAGTGTGGCTATGGCAAAGTCAATAAGAAGCAAATTGCCTGCATAGATAACTCAGTGATTGTCTGATCTCTTGGTAAATATGGCATCATCTGCATGGAGGATCTGATTCATGAGATCTATACTGTTGGAAAACTCTTCAAAGAGGCAAATAACTTCCTGTGGCCATTCAAGTTATCATCTCCAAGAGGTGGAATGAAGAAAAAGACCACCCATTTTGTGGAAGATAGAGAAGCTGGAAATAGGGAAGACCAGATCAACAGGCTTATTAGAAGGATGACCTAAGATATCTATCATGGTATTTTTATGATTTGGTCAGTTAATAAAGTATCTGCTTCCAAAAAATAAAATAAAATAATATCAACTTCATTTTCACCCAACTGCATTGATTCATGAAATCCAGAGCACTAGCACTACTCAAATAAATTCTCATTTAAGGGTTGTGTTACATGTAAAAAATGAAAAATGATAGATATAAAAGAATGAGTAGCATTGTTGCTTAGTTAAGTACATAGGAATGTGTATTTTCAAGCAGTTTAAAAAAATCAAAACTCAGTTATTAAAGAGAAGTGTTTGATAAACTACTTGATTTATCTCTAGCAAATTTAATTATTTGCAGTATCATAGTTAGAATGAGTGAAATTCATCGAGACACTCATGAAAGAGGATTTCCAGAATGGCTTCAGAAAGTGGCAGAGCCAATGGAATAAGTACGTTTGAAGTGAGGAGGAATATTTTGAGGGAGATTAATGGCGACATGCTTATATTTTTAAAATAGTCACCACAGACAATATTTTGATCATCCTTGTACTCATTTCACCTGCTTGTCCACCCTTACACCGGGGTGTACTACCTTGAGCACTGCTGTTCCCTAACTGTCAGTTTTAAAATCAGGTCAAATAAATACTCTAAACTTAAAAGAAAAAAAAAACAAAAAAAAGAGTGAAATTATAAATATATAATGTGCATAACCCAGTGCTTGCTTGTTTGGTTGTAAGTGATCAACGCATTAGATGTTATTAAATGAGGGATTTATAGACTCTTCCTATGAACTCTGAAAATCTCTAAGTATTGTTTGTGTTTTTGTGATGATATCTTGGTGACACTTTATGAGGAAGCCAGAACCCCCTACTCTATATTAGTGGTAAGGATTAATGGTAATAATAATCTTTATTTAGTGTTTACTTGGTGTCAGGTATTGGATCAAACATATTTTGTGTATGTACTCATTTGATCTTTCACATACCAGCTTGATTAAAGTTTGACTGAGTTCAACTTAAACATTTTTTTTTTGTACTTGAGAGAACTGAAACACACAAATTGGTAATGTGGCCAGTCTAAGAAGTGGTGGAGCTATTACAGTCTAAAATCCTCCCAAGATGTGAAGAGGAAAACAGTTGACACAAGAACCTCTAGAACTATTTCTTTTGGATAGTATTAAGCACAAATATAAAAAGGACAATAATACCCCTTCCCAATCCCACATAAATAGAAGTACAGAATGCAAAGAGATAGAATGAATAGGAAATTCACATTCTAGAACTGGCTTAGCTGTCTGTGGCTAGGAAACTGCAAGTTTGCAACTATACTGGAAAGCAGTTATAGTCAAAATTATACCATCATTTCTGTGATTGAATAGTTTTAATTTCACAGTTAGCAAATCAAGTTAGGAGCTTATTTTATAGTAGATGATCTGATTTGCCTCAAATAGATCTTTTTTCCCTAAAAGTGCCAGTAGGGATACCCAGGATATTAATAACGTCACAAGCACCTACATTATTAAATTTGCAATAGATTTGACACTTTGAAAGGAGGCAGAATGAACCATATCAAAATGATTATTTGATGTCTATGTATGTCCAATGAGAAGAGGTGAGAGATTATTAAATCGTTGATATTTGGAGGAAGGCTTGATTTCAAAGGAAACTTCAGGAGGGTAGAGCTAATTACCCACAAATAGCTGAGAAAGTTCACCTGGAGGTACCTGACGTGGAAAAATTAAAAGAAGACAAGTTTATTTTGCTTCACATTTTTTAGAGATTTTAGTGCATTGTTGGCAGGTTCCAGGGCAGATGGGGCATGGTGGAAGGACTTGCCACAAAGGAAAGCTGCTCCCTCATGGCAGCCTGAGAGCCAAGGGAGGAGCCAGGGAGGGAGGGAGATCCTTCCAGGCTACACCCCAGGATCTGCCTTCTTGGACTGGATCCCACCTCCTAACAGCAAGTAGTAACCTTGCTACAGCCTGGCTACTGGGCCAAGATAAACTTTCATTCTTTTGAGTTGTAAATGTGGGCATTTTGTCCCAGTGACATGAAAAGTGACTAAGAAAGATTTTGGTATCAAGAGTGGAGTTATTCCTGGGATTATACCTGACTTTGTGGCTTAGAGGCTGTAGTGCTTGACTGATTGTATCAACTTGAAAAGCTAAGAGCATAACTAAGTCGGCTCAGCACTTCCACACCCCAGGGTGTGACTTATCACTTAAACAGAATGAGGAAGGCCAGAAGGTCCCATTCTTCCTCAGAGGAGCTTCAGTCTTTGCCATCAGCTTGGATGTCTTCTCCTGGCTCTAGCACAGACTTTTGGCTTCCGCTTTGGATCTTTCAGTCTTCTGCTATAGACTCATCAGCCTTCCATCGCAGATT